GGGTCTCAGCCGGGGGCTGCCCAGGCGGGCTGGGGCCTTGTCAGCGCTCACACGTGTCCAAGCGCAGCCCAGCAAGCTGCCTCTGTCCTGGAAGGTTTGTTACTGTGGAGAGCGTTTGAGCTCACCTCTGTCTGGTTTCGTTAGATGGGGATAGTGTGTCCTGTGCGTGCTGCAGCCTCCATCACGTGCAGGCAGTAAACTGCTCTCACAGCTCTTTTCAAAAGAAGACTGATCACAAATTCTCTCTGAGAGAATTCATTTCCAATTGTCTGCCTTATTCCAGGTCCTGTCTTTGGCAGCAAGGACAACTTCCATGGACTAGCTATTTTCCTTGATACGTATCCCAATGATGAAGCAACAGAGGTGAGTAGTTCAGGGAGCTCCTTCAGTGCTGAGGGGGCTCTTTCCTCATGGCTTTGTGCTCTGAGCGCTTCACGCACAGACCAAGGATAAGTCTCTCCTTATGTGAGAGCAAGCTGCTCTTCCTGTAAAGGGAAGAGTTTGTACATGCGTTAGAGGAGGTCCTTGCTCCATGTTCTGCTGTTGTTGACTACAGAAACGTTTTCAAGGCCTTTCTGCCTCTGTGTGAGAGGACAGCACAGGGCTGGTGTGAACTCTATGCCACCTTTTAAGTAAAGGTAGTTTAATCAGCCTAAGACTATGAGCATATTCATCCTGAGTATCATTTCCTGAACTTCTCTGTGCATTGGTTACTCATTCCATGTTATTACTGCCCTTATTCTCTGTTTGTGACCTGGATGTGTAAAAGAGAAACTCATGGGCTGGCTTCTTGCTTCAGAATTCCTTATGGCCAAAATACAGATCAGCCTTGTGGGGGCTGATGGTTGTTCTGTCATGTTCTGTAGTTGTAGATCTTGTTACAGCACAGTCAGAAAATGTAACTGGGATAGTGAGATCTATTGCACCAAAACTGTGATACTTAAGTCATGAAGTACCTGGAAATGATCCATCTGTTCTCTTGCTGCTCCCTGGGGAGGTGATTTCTTGCCTCTAGCTGGCCCCTCCTGATGTACATAATGTACTGATGGCAAAACCCTAAGTGTGGTTATGCTGCTAATGTGGGATTTCTGCCCATTCTGGCTCCTGTGCTCTGTTCTTACACTCTGCTCTCTCAGGTGCTTACTCTGCAAGTTTGGGGTGGTCTCTTTGCCCTGGCCGTGCTGTGGGCTTACGAAGGGTCTTGGTAGAGAAGGTTGAAAATGGCTGCTCAGCTTTAGCCAGAATAAGCTCTCTCTCAGTGTAGAAGCAGCTTTATGTGCAAAGTGAGCCTTGATTTCTTTGTTCTGCCCTCCGTACCCGATGGTGCGGCAAAGCCGTGGCTCCGTTGCCATGTCTGGCTGAGATCCCGCTCTCACTGAGGTTCTGACCAGAGAGAGGAAGGCAGTTCTTGGTTTGCAGCTCAAAGGCTGCTGCAGACTGACAGCAGCAGCGCTCTCCTCCCTGCAGCGTGTGTTCCCCTACATCTCTGCGATGGTGAACAACGGCTCCCTCACGTACGACCACAGTAAGGACGGGCGCTGGACGGAGCTGGCGGGGTGCACCGCTGACCTTCGGAACCAGAACCATGACACTTTCCTGGCAATTCGGTACTCCCGAGGTCGCCTGACGGTGAGATGTGGCGAAACAGGGTGTCCTGGGTGTGAGACAGGGCAGTGCTGAGGGGCAGGTGTTGCTGTATCAATAGGTGACCTGGAGATGGTTTTCCAGGCTCAACCGCCTGCCTCTCCTGCAGCTCCAGCTCCAAAAGAGCTGCAGGCAGGGGTGTGTGGTGGTGTGCCTTCCTGCTGTGATGCTCCCCTGGTCTTGCAGGTGATGACCGATGTGGAAGATAAGAATGAATGGAAGAACTGCATTGACATTGCAGGGGTGCAGCTGCCAACTGGCTACTTCTTTGGTGCTTCTGCTGGCACTGGAGATTTGTCTGGTGAGATGGGAGGGGGTTGCTTACAGGAATACCTGTTGTCTGGAGCCTGGAGTAGAACGCCGTGGATGTATGGAATGGATTTGAATCTTAAAACTGTTGAGTAGGGACGCATGGCCTGGGAAAAGGAGGCATCTGAGTGCTAAAGAATACCTCAAATTGCGGTTTGATATCTGGAGTGTGCGGGTGGCTTGAGAGGGAAGGAGACGTGAGCTTGGTAGAGCATGGTCCTTGGGGATGCTCTGCGCCTGTGGACGTCTCAGAGCTTCTGAAAGTGTTCGGTGCTGGTGGTTGTTTCCTAGACAATCATGACATTATCTCGATGAAGCTGTTCCAGCTCATGGTGGAACACCCTCTAGAAGATGAGACTGTTGACTGGACCAAGATTGAGCCTAGCGTCAGCCTCCTTAAATCACCCAAAGGTGAGTCTCTGGGCTTCAGAAACCTTCAGTGGAGGATTGGGCTGGACTCGTAAAGGCCTGTTGAAAGGCATCAGAGGTGTGACACCCTGTGAGACTGCGGGAGCTGAGCTTGAGTTGGTCTCTGTAGCTGTTCTCATCCTTGCAGACAACGTGGATGACCCGACGGGGAATTTCCGAAGCGGGCCTCTGACGGGCTGGAAGGTGTTCCTGCTCCTGCTCTGCGCGCTGCTGGGCATCATTGTCTGCGCTGTTGTGGGGGCTGTCGTCTTCCAGAAACGCCAGGAGCGGAACAAGCGTTTCTACTAGCTGGAGACCTGGGCCCTGGCCTGTGCCCAAACCCATCTTTTCTATGGGCAGCTGTAAAAACTGTGGTTTCTAGAAGCTGTTTCTGAGAACTATCGGAAGTATTTTCTTATCTGTCTGTCTGGCTGTAACCCCTGCCCAGCCCTCGGTATCTGGCGGGTTGGACCCAGGGGGGCGATGCCTGCTGGGGGAGCCTGGAGTTTGCTCCCTTATTTTTCCAGCGCTTCCCCCTCCACCTGGGACCT